CTAGGCTCCCCACAATATGCACATTTCTGTCTTGTTAATCAGCTTTTATGCTTTTGGTGGGAATGAGAAAACAGTAGCGATGTCTTTTAGCCCAATAGCAGCTGATTCCAACAAGGAGGCTGAGCAGGAGCTTGGGAGGCCTGTCTGCTGGTGGAGAGGTTGCTCTTGCCTTGTGTCCTGAAATTCCCCAACTCCCTGTTTTGGACCAAAGCTGACAGAAGAGATTGATTATTTAGGTTGATTTTTAACAGTTTCAGAGAGTCACCCAGTGAAGGAAATGGTTCAGCTCCTCTGCCTCTGTGCAGGGGAGGGGTGCGAGGAGATGGGGTGATTTTTCAGAGCCGTTAGGAGCCGTTTGCATGAGCCTTGTGAGATCAGAACTAATGACCTGCCTTGCAGTGCGTGTGAACCAGCAGCCCGCAAATTCCCGGGAGCAGCAGTAGGAGCAGGTACCATTCCCAAGGCCTCACACACGGTCATTTTTCCGTAGCTTTCCATCCCACGTGGGAGCTCTGTGCACAGAGCATGGACATGCATGGAGCAAGCGGGGCTGCCATCGCGTGCTGGGTATCAGGATCACGGGCAGCCTTAGTTCCTCACTGCAGAATCACTGGAAAACAGCAATTGGAGCATCATCCAGCTGATATTTAATGGAGAAGCAGGAACTTCTGCTTTTCCTTCTCTCCTTGCCCGTGTCGCGGCGTTCCCTGCTCCTGGTGCTTGACACGTTTCCTCGTTTTAACGCAGCCCGGCTTGAGCGGGGCTCCCGTTTGCAGCTTGGCCGGAAGACGGGAGAGGGGACGGAAGGGACACGATGCGGGTGGCACCGTCCCATCCCCGGCCCTGTTCCTCAGGGCCATCGCTCGCTCTCATCCACGCTGGCAGCTTCAGCAGCTCGTAATCCTCTTTGGGTCTTTAGCACTGTGACCGCTGACAAGCTCCTGCGCTCCGAGGTGTCAACACATCTCAAGATAGTTGCGGTGATTTTTCTTTTCTTCAAATCCAAATACCTTTTGATCTATTGACCCGGTCTTAACCTGACAAAGAAATCTATGTTCCCATGACAGATTTTGCTGCTGCTGCTTAATGTCTGTAAAGAGTTTTCCCTAAAATTTGATTAATTCCTAGTTCCTCTAACTCAGGTTGCTCTGTTGTCTGTTTTACATGTTACTGCAAGCAGTCCGTGTTTTGCTGAGGTTGTAAGGAATGTGGTTTAATGTCAACGTGAGAATGAGCTGGCAGCAATTTCTCTTATGCTTCAATTACAAGCCCTGAGAACTCCTTCCTTCGTATGCTGTTTTCTTGCTTTCTTTGCTGTCTTGTTTGGAAAGGACCTTGGCAGTGCAGAGAGTGGTAGTAATGAGTGTAGGAGCTGGTGTGTGTGGTTGCAGCAAAGGGAAGTAATGAAGTAAAATGGCCCCAAATGTAGCTTTAAATCTGGTTAGCTTTGGAAGGAGAATTTTCAGTCCTGTGTTTATTGGGGAAGAATGGGGAGCAAGCATCAAATGTGCTGTAAAAGCAGCAGGGTAAAAGAAGGTGGTTCGGTTTGTCTTCTAGCTTTAGTTATGTATTTTTATAGCTTCTTCTGTTTTTATTATTTGCTATGAACCATCATTTAATAGCAGGGGAAAATCCTTCAAATGAATGTTGCTGTGTTTAGTTTTTGTCCTCTGTGGAGAGCACTGTCCCCATATGACAAAGCTCTGATGCTCTGAAGTTGGCTCCCCTAAGGCTCAGCTTTATTGAGAGGAGTGAAACATTTTAGGTGGTTCATTCATTCTTTCTTTGTCTCTTGTTATTTGAGTCCTTATGGTGTCCTTTGGTCATGTTTTTAAACTTACTTCTGCAACTAAGATTGCCAGGAGCTTTATTTAATAATAGCTGAGGTCTCATGTTCCACTTTTTCCTTTGTGAGCTCTCATTTTATCTCAGGCATCAAATATTGTGAGAGTGAATTAAAAGCAACATTGACATGTTGTAATTTTTGTTGAATGTTCTCTGTTTTGCTTTGTGATGGAATATTGCAGTATTAAAGTTAAGGGACCTTGGGAAGGTTTGGGGTGGATCAGTCTCTGTTTCTAAGGCGAGTGTCACGTGCTGGTCCAGCTGAGCAGCCTTTGAGGATGGGTGCCCCATTGAAGACCTTGGAAGGGCACACATGGTTTTTTGCTTGGTTCATCACTTGCAAACACTGGATTTTTGGAGGCTGTTGGAATATCCCGAGCTGCCAGAGCAAGGGGTTAAAATATTGAAATGAAGCAGCTTTGCAGCTAGCACCATGTGGACAGGTGAGGCAGCCTGGAAATGTGCTGTCGCCAAGTGAGAGCCCCAACCACAGAACCTGCCACGAAGGGCCCTTCCTTGTCTGCTCCTCATTTAGCTCTTGTTCAGATCAAAAGTAAGTGCCCCTTTCCCAAGGTAAGAAGAAGCCCAGAGGCCAAAGAAAACCTGTTTAACAGGCCTGCTTGTTGAGCCAACTCAGGTTTAAATGGTAAAACTCTATTATTTTTCTTTTTCTTCCTTGAGGGAACCTTTAAAATACTCATTCATGGCTTTGGAAATACTGCTTCTTTGACGTTTTTGTTTTGTTTGGGAGGAGTGAAGAACGATGAAAGAAAGGCTTGATTTAAGAACAAGAGGGACAACTCGATGGCGTGCCAAGACATTTCCTTGCTGTTTCTACAACTGAGCAATTTTTATTTTCAAGTTGAACGTTTTCTGAGCCCCTCCTTGATCTTCACCTTCTGCTGTGTTCCTTGTGATTCCTTTGAGGCCTCTCTCCCTGCTCCTTTCCCTCTTCCTCGCGGAGACTTTTGCAGCTTCGCTCAGGTTTTCTCTTGCCCGCATTTCATGCTTTTCATCCGCTTTAGGAGCCACAGCCTTTGCATTCCCCTTCCTTTCCCGGCTCTCTCCATCCACGTTTGTAGCTGATGTTGGAGCTGCGGCTGTCCCTGCTATTGAGGGGCTGAACTATCTCTAATAAACTAGACAAGGTCCTACCACAACCACCTTAACCAGCAGAGAACCCAGCTAATGAATCTGTTGGCTCCTTTTTTCCTTCTTCAGGAGGGTTAAATGCCAGCCTCGTGCTGGCTCTCACGTACAACATATTTGTTCCTGTTTTCTTCTCCTGCTGCTGTTTCGCTGCAAAGTGCTGCAGGCTAATGGTATCTGACGGGGCCACTTCCTATTGCCTGAAAAATGTTTAATTTTACTGCTTTGCTTTCCCTCTTTCCCGCTTTCTCTCATTTTGATCTCTCAAATCCTGTCCCTCTGAGAAATCAGGCAGTATGAAATATGAAAATTGCTTGGGAAGTAATTGGAGAAACGGTGAGATTTAGGAAACCCATGGAGATAACGCTTACACCTACTTATTCACATTATTTAATTTTTAATGGCAAATTTAATTAATGGAGCACAGGTCTTGTGGTTTCATGTGTGAATAAGTAACAGCAGGGAGCGAAAGTCATGAGGTCTGTTTACATGACAGAAAAGAGCTCCATTAAAAGCTGAACTTTTCATTAGAGAAAGGAAGAAAATGGGTTTAATAGCACAGAAGTTTGACCGTTGTGAAACAACTAAGTAAATGAAAACATTAACGGCAATTTGTTGGTAAAATGCGTTTTGAAGTGGTTATTCATCCGTGTTTTGTCAGTTTAAGCCTGTCTCTTGGGTCAAAGTTTAGAAAAGCAAAGTCTCTTCTGTGGCTTTTTTGGTATGTGACTTAAATGGAGGCACCAGAGATAAAATGCTGAAGTGTAGCACCTTGAAGTTGAGACTTTGAAAACCATAATAAACCTCCCAATTAGCTCAGCTTCACACAACTTGTGTGAGAGGGGCAGCTGTTATCCCTTGATTGCAGATGGAAAAGACTTGCCCGGGATTGCACAAGTGGCAAAACCACTAATAGAACTTGAGTTATATCTGTCGCTTCCCCCTTGCAGCCGCTGAGCGATCCGGGTAGTCTCATCATGTGCAGGAGCACAGCTGCTTTCACGGGAAAATAAATGAAGAAAGGCAAGAATGGTATTCTGTATAAAATGACCAAGGCTGGGGAGAGGCAAGATAGCAGCTAGAACCGGCCCCAAGTGAATAGCTGTCCTCCCTTTTGATACCGCTTTGTCACCTTTTTTGTATGATAGATGATTGCATATTTTTTGCAGGTGCTTTTTCAGCCCGAGGGCCTTGCGGATGAGCTTTGAAAGAGGCAACTGCAGCTTTTTTAGTGCGAAGTCCGGAGGCTTTGCTTAAATCAGCTTTATCAGCAGTTAGAGACACAAGACCTTGCAGCGAAGGAGCTCGGGGTCCCTCGAGCCGGTCGCGCTTGGTGAGGCCGCAGGTTCGGCAGGGGAAGGGAATTGCACATCCAGCTCCATGCACTGAGGCTGAGCATTAACCCTCGTTCTGTGCCAGCTCCGGAGAATTCAGCGCAACCCTCTCCAGCCCTGAAGCCAGACACTCCAGACTCTCCTTGGCAGGGCCCTAACTGATATCTGATATGCCTCCCTGTATTGTTAGGAGGGAAACATGCTGCATAATTTTCTTTTAAGGAGTAAGGAGCGTAAGTAAAAGCGGTGAGATGTAAAATGAATTTTCCAGTGCTAGCAGCCAGTTTTGATGCTTGTGCTTCAGTGACTCTCAAGATTCTCCACAGCAATTAAAATAAACCCCCCAAACACAACCCAAAAAAGCTCCTCAAAATAACTTACTGCTAGAAACACCTTGAATTGTGGTTACGCGGAAAACAAAATAATCAAAGCTGATGGTTGGCTGTTAGAGACCTTTTCTCCCTGCTTTCCCTTCATGAAAGTCAAGTACATAACACAGGGCCCGTTGTGGCATTGGTGCAATCTAAAAACTAAATAAACTTTTTAGCTTTTCCTTTATGATGTGTTCTCTGAGCTGCACGTGCTGTTTGTTGTTGGGAACGGTGGTTAATCGTGGACGGGGTGGTGCGGTCCCGGCGCGGCGGGCGCTCAGCGTTGCCTTCTCTCTTGCAGAACGCCGAGATCTACAGGCTGACGTCGGCGCAGTACCACGAGGCAGCCGCGGGCGCCGAGAAGTCCATCAAGTGAGAAGCCTTTTTTGTTCTTTCCAGCAGTTCTGCTTGTGCTTCACAGGGCTCTACATGGAGCCTCAGGATATTCCCTCGCGCGGAGCACGAAGCCGCCTCGTGCCGGGGAGCTGGGGACTGAGCGGTTGCAGGGAGCATCCTCTCTATGCCGGTGCCCAGCTTGACAGAATTTGGGATAAACTTGGTAGCTTTGGCAAGGGGAAACAAGCGGGATGGCATGGGCTAGAAAATGCAAATGCGCGCGAATGATTTCTGGGATTTTCAAAATGGCACTGGAACATGTTTAATTTCTGCAAATGTTGACCTAGGATATTGGCTTACACACTGAAGCACTGGGCTAGGGCATGAGAGTATGAAAAAATCACTTAAAATTTCCATTGATCGGGGAAGGAAAAGGTAAATAGCATAAATCTTTTCTGTGTAGTTATAATGAATGTTTTCCTAGAACGGGTGAAATGATTTTTCTGACCTTTTTCCTCAACTTGGTATAATTAGAGGACCTTTAGTGTTGATCATTTTTTTTTTAACATCAGCATATTTAGTATCTAAATTCCACTTGTATTTACTAGTTGTGTTATATAGCGTATTGTTCCACATGCACTAACAGCTGTCCAAGGAAAAATATTTTCTATAATTCTTTAATATTAATGAGTCCAAAGCAATTACACAGTCAAGAGAAGCACACGTATCTCTGTTGGGTAAACAGTTGGCCAACGTGCAGTTAACTGGAGTAGCAACATATGTAGTCCAGTTGGGTTTGGTCCAGGCTGTATGGTGCTTAATTGCATAAATAGATGATATAATAGCAATGAATATGGTAGTGGGGTTGTGTATTCTATTGTGCTGTCTTTACTTAAAATTGTGTTTGGCTGTCAAAGCATCAAATAACCCGTTGTAATTTCACATTTTTTGTTTGGACAGTCAAGCAGTAAGTTGCTAAAGAAGCCAAAGCAAAGCGCAGCTGACACATTGTGTGAGTTTTCATCCAGTTTTCCGTAGTATTAGTCTGTTTTGAATAAAAATTTCAAAGTTTACAGGACATCAATCTTTGACAGTGTGCAGTCATTCCAGTCTTCTCTGCATTTGCTTCTGTAGTTCTGTGGTCAGTTGTTGGGACTACCTGTAACTGATTTACAGGACCATGGAGGAAGAGGTTGTGAACTTGGGTCATATTTTTTACTTGCTGTTACAGATTGTTGCTGTTTTCTCTGTGATGATCTTAAATTGGGTTCCTAAGATTAATTTGACCTCTTCTCTGTTCCTTATGAACATGAAGACTGGTAATGTAGGTTACCCCCTGGTAATGGCAATGCAACTGTTAGTGGCTGAGACTAATGCAAATGTTAGCTAATGGTTTTTCTTTTAAGATCCAGCATATGTGTTTTGGAGTCTCTGAGGTCCTTTCTCTTTTTCTTTGAGTTCTGAACATCTGTTAGTCTCTGGCTTCTGGCCTTATTGTACAGTCATCTCCTATTTTGAGGCTGTATAAACACGAGCCATTAGAAATGGGCGAATTCCTTAGGTTGCCCTCCTTAGGGCCCAAATAGGCCCCTGGCACAGGAATTTTGCTGTGAAAAGATGCTTAGGGCTCTGGTGAGCCTTGAGACGAGCCAAACTGTGTGAGGCTAGTGAAACTTGTTAGGTACAGTAGAAATTAGCAGGAATAACCAGCATTGCTGAGCTGTGTGCAAGAATGTGCAATTTGGGATTGATAATGGCCTTCCATAATGCACGTGCAGGAAAAATGGTTGTTCTTTTCCTTGTCAGTGTGCAGTGCGCACTCGTCTCAGGTCATGATCCTCATCATGGTTGGACATCATGCTCTCAGAGAGTGCATGTGCCTTAAGCAAGAGTCAGGACGCCTCTGGGGCCAAATGAGGGAGACTTTCTTTTCATGTTGGCATTCTTGCTTGCTTGGTAAGACTTGAAGAGTTTGTGTGTTATGAGAACGTCCTATTAGGCTTTTTAAATTCAAGACTTGCTGCTGCTTGTTTATGGTAATAAATTACAAGATGCTGTGAATTCAGTGGAAAGAATAGTTTGTTCATGTTGTTTTGCACTTTCGTATTAGACAGACAAGCCCAGTAAGTGCTAAGCTGGGTAAGACTAATTTATGCAGATCTAGTGACTTGGGTGGGAAGAGCAAGCTGAACCACAGAGGAACGTGGATGGGGTTTTGTAGACCTGCTAGGAGTGAATGTGGCAGGTCTGTCTGTGCTAGCTACTGTGGCCCCTCTCCACCTGAAGAGGAGAGGGCAGCGCCTTCCCTGTGTGTCCTCTCTGTTCGTACCCCCCAATTCACTGCAGGCTCCCAGAGCTGCCTCTCTGACTCATGAGACCAGTCTGGCCCCTGTTTGTCATCCTCTGTGCATCTGAGGAGGAAGAGGGGGATTGAGCTGGGGCTGCTCTTCAGAGACCATGTTGCAGCAAAGATAAGAAATATCTGAAACAAAAAAAGAAGTTTTTTCTTGGCATTTATTGACTTCCTTAATTCCTTTATCAAAACCTACAGCTCAGCACAACTGGTTAAGTGTTCTATGAGCCATCTCCTCTCCTTAGTGATTATATAGCATTTCAGGACTTGAAAATCTTGCGTGTGCTTTTTGCCGGTGACCCTTCGCAGCCCGCCTGCGAGGAGGCAGGTAAGCCTTTCTATCTCCATTTGTACAGCAGCAGGAGTGAAGTGCTTAGCGCCGAGCTTCATCTTAAATCACTGACACGGGCATTAGCTCTTGGTTCTCCTTCAAGGCAGCCTGCCAGGCTCGCTGCTCGCGCGGCCTTTCCCGCGTGATGGACTTTGTTCCTAATCCCTTCACCTGAAGCCCGCGTGCTCCCGTCTCTGCAGTCCTGCTGCCATCCCACCTCCTTCCTCGCTGTTCTGGGCTCTGTCCAAGCAGCTCCTTCCTCCTGGGAAGGAGATCCTAGCAACGAGGAACCGCAGCTTTCGGCACCTCGAGCGCCTTGCCTTTGCTGCTTACGTGCTGTTGTGAATTGGACCATTGCCACGGCCATATTGTCTCTCTGATTTTATTGTAATCGGTGCATTATTATTTTCCCCTTTTGTTAACCAACCGAATTAAAGTCTGGGGACCTAGAACTCTTTTCTTCAGCCTTGCCTGTTTAGCAAACTGTGCACATCAGTAATCACCCACAAAAGAAGCAGCGTGTAAATAAAAAGCCGGTGCTCTCCGCCCTTCACTTCGTTCCACATCTTTTTCTCAGTGTTCAGAGAGCCATGACTCAGACTGGGTTTAGAGAAGACAACTTGCTAATCCCCTCCCTGCTACAGAGAATAAAATGGCATTTCATTCCAAGCTCTATTAATGCGCCCGCTCCGGGGATAAAGCAGCACTCCCAAAAGGCAGTGGTCAAATTTTTTTTCTGTTACGTTGTCTTTGTCTTCTTTTGAGTGTTACATTTAGATTAGCTGCTGAGGATTAAATGTTATTACAGTCCCTGGATCTGTTAAGGGGAAAGAGGAAAAAAACCATCAGTAAAGAGGTTATGGCTTAGCGCAGGCACTCTTGATTTATTCTCAAAATGCTGTTTTTTTAATTAGATTTATTTTCTTTGTGAAGGTGGGTTTATCTTATTTTGATTTTATTTTTGTAGCTGTTATATTTGGATGCGAGGATCGGCGTGGGCCGGGGGGAGCGTTCGGTGCTTCCCAAGGCAGAGCGAGCAGCGAGGTGAGGGGATTAGGAAGCCGTTAAGAGATAAAATGGTTCTGCAGCTGCGTTTCCCTCTGCGCTGTCCTCGTGGTTTGCTGAGCCCTCTGCGACACCGCTAACCAAGGGCCTGGTTGCTCTGGGTGTTGTGCCGAGAGGGCTGTAACCAACGGCCCTGTCCTCTCCTGGTGGAGATCAGCCCAGCGTTGGCTGCCAAAGAGATTCCTTCCATCTGTGAGTTCCATTGAATGGTCCTAAGATCTTCAGACTTAATGGGCATCAGGATTGAAGGGGGTTGTGGTGGAGAAAGTGGCGCGTGGTGGGTATCCTCCCCAGCTGGAGCTGGAACAGGCAACCGAACCGCCTCCTTTTGGGCAGGGGGTGAAACGTGCCCGGATAGGCTGTCTGCAGGGAACAGTACTCCTGGAAATGAACATCCTAGGAAACTGCACAGCATTTTGTGGCATTGATGGGGCCTCGGTTAAATGGTAGCAGACCCAGAACACAGAGGAATGCCTCTTTCCACCTCACCCCTCTTTAATTTTATTTTGCTTCCTTGGTTGCAAAGATCTGGGAAGTTTTAAAGACAGTTACTTGGGGATACTTGAGTTTATTAACCTTGAAATCTCTTGCAAGGCCCCAGCTCTTGTGATTGCCAGTGCTGTGCCTGGCAGTCAAGCTCTGAAATAGATGTTATGTGGACAGTGGGGAAGCCCAAGGAGATGCAGCGCGGAGACACAGTTTTGAAATAAAATTGCTTTGGGATTTCTCCTATTATTAGATTAGAGAGATGATTAATTCAGTGTTGAAATTAAAGACCGTTGCAATAGAGATCTGAGAGTTTTAGGGCAGAAAAGACTCCTACTGCTTGGAGCTCATCTGCAGCCTTATCTTGGCAGAGCACTTTTGTACCCTGCAATGATGAGGCCTCACAAGAGAAGGGTTTGGCTCTAGTCCAGTCCCTCAGTGCTTGGTTTGTCCTGTCTATAGTAAGTTTGCTCCATATAGTCTTCAAATAAAAGGATTAGTCCAAGGTTTGCAGTTTCTTATGGTTTTAAAATGTAGTGGGAAATTGATGACAGCATGAGTTTCCCCAAACTTGTTTCAGAAGTGGGTGAAAGAGTAGATGGGTCAGTTCTTAAACACCTTCTCATTGGGGAAGACCCATCATTAAGCAATATTCCTCCTGATGCATTGATTTCCAATCACAGTGTATTTCCCTACTGCTTTAGCAATACGGTGCATGGAAATGAAAGCCGGAGATGTGGAGTGGAGTTGTGCAGATGTTGCAGGTAGCTCAGCCTCTTCCATGTGGTGAAGCCTGATCAG